GGGGGTGGTCAGGGAGCCGAGGGCGCCACAGGGGCAGAAAGAGAATCTGCCCCATTCTTTGTGGGGGGGGGGCAAGACGGAGGGGCAAACGTCGACCTGTGCCAGGGTGCGCCTGCGCGAACAGCATACCGTCCACAGAGAAGGCAAGGCCGCTGCAGTCGGAGCCAGAGGGGTGACCTTGGCACACGCGCGCACGCACGCACACAGCTCCCGAGCGCAGAAGCTGAGCCTGGGGGGGGGGGGAGGAGACGGCTGGACTGGAAAATCAATAGGGAAGCCGAGAAACCCCAAAAAAAAACGGGAAGCTGAAAACAACGAGGCGTCTCTGACCAGCACGCCACGCTCCCTCCCCGTTGTCCGAGAAAAAAAAAAAACAACATAAATCATAAACCTGTCACAGAACGGAAAGAAAACTCACTCGTTTCCCTCAACCGGAGGGAAGAGACAGCGGGGAGGGGGGGGGAGTCTGGACTGGGGGGGTGTACGATTGCCAGTTTCTTGCTCACGTCCTGCGTAGTTTTCCCGTTGTTCAGCCCCGTTTCTCTCCCCTCCTCCTCCCAGAATCCTGCCTTCCACGAGCAATAACTTCCTGCTGAAGAACCTGGTGGCGGGGGTGGACTACGACCTCTGCGTGCTGGCCGTCTTCGACGACCTCGCGACCTCCCTGGCCGCCACCAAGGTGCTGGGCTGCGCCCAGTTCAGCACCAAGGACGACTACGTGCACTGCCACTCCCTGCACGCCCACTTCCTGGGGGGCACGCTCACGGTCATCGTGGGCGGGGTGATCGTGGTGACGCTGCTGGTGTTCACCGTGGTGATGATGGTCAAGTACCGCATCTGCGCCAGCGCCCACGCCCCGCTGCCCAAAGTCACCGACGTCTACTCGCAGACCAACGGGGGCAACGCGCCGCTGCCCAACGGGCTCCTCCTGCGGCGCGGCAGCCTGGCGCCGCTGCCCAAGCCGCCGCCCCCCCAGCAGCTGGTGGCCGCGGCGGACAGGCGGGGCCCCCCCCGCACCCCCGAGCAGGAGAGGGCGGCCCTCTACTATGGCACCAGGCCCCAGCGGCGGCGCGGGAAACCCAAGTACCGGGGCGAGGGCGGCAGGGTGGGGGCCAAGCTGGCCCTGCCGGCGCTGCCGCCCCCCGCCGGCGAGGCAAGGGATTATGGGAAGGAGCCCCGGCAGGCGGCCCCGGCGAGGGCGGCCGGGGCGGGCAGGGGGCACCCCGGGTGCTGGAACCCCCCGGCCAAGGCCAAGCGCAGCTGCTCGTTCGACATGGGCGAGATCGCCGCCACCACGTGCTACAGCTACGCCAAGCGGCTGAGCGTGATCTGGACGCGCCGCAGCCAGTCGGTGCACGGCGTGCTCATGCACTGCGCCGAGGCCGCGGACCTCGCCGGGAACGCCCTCGCGCTGGCCAGCGCGGACGAGCTGGAGGAGAGCGTGGTATAGCGGACGGGGCGCACGGGGCGGGTGGGGATTCTGGGAATGGCGACGGGGAAGAAATTTTTCGGACCTTTTAAAAGCCGAAGAACCCCAAGGGGGGTGCACGCAGGAACAAGACGTGAAGTAGTGGAAAACGGGGACATGACACCCCTAAAATAAACGCCACGGAGAGCAGGAGGGGCGCCGGTACGGACAGCGGCGCGGATCAGGAACGCCGAGATCTTATTCTCACAGCGGCGCCTGGGTTACAGGAAACGCCCCATCGCCACCGACGTTTTTGCGTGCCGGGCCATGGGAGATACATGGAATAAAAAAACAAAACGGATTGTAAGGGTCTCGCGTGGACAATCGAAACACTCCCCCCCCCGTTCCAAGCCCCGCCCTGCTCCTCCCCGCCGGCTGAGGCTCTCCCCCTGTTCCGGCGGCCATGGCGGCTGGCGTATCCCACGAGCCCCCTGGAGCCCCTGGAGGTGTACGTTTGTGTAAATATAAACATGAACATACCGTGTTCCTTCCACTGGATACGTTTTCTACTCTTTCATTAAGGACAGTCTCATTAAAAAAAAAGTGCGATTGTTTGTTTTCTTTACTTGAGTATACAAAGAATCATTTCCATTATTACTATGATTATTATTATGGCGAGCGCCTAACGCACGACAACCACGGTAATAATTATATTAATAACGACCCTTCTCTGGTTTTGTTCATCATGATTTGCCAAAGTCGTTCATGTCACCCGGGACCTGAGATTCTGACTATGTTGATGAGAACAATAAAATACAAAAAAAAAAAAGAAAACCGTGAACTGATTGTGTGGGGGACAGCTGAAGCTTTTCGCGAAACTCAGTGTATTCGCGCCCCGGACCCTTGTCCGGGTGTTTGTGCCGCCTCCCTTTTGTGCTTGGTGTTGCCGGGGAGGCGCAGTGGGGAGGGGGGGTCAGACCGTTCGGAGACGGCTGGCCTGTCTCGTACACGCCGAGATGGCACAGGGACAGCGGCCACACACTGGCACGGATAAATTGCCGCCCGAGAAAAACAATGGCTTGGCCACAACAATAAGTCTGAAGATAAGCAGAGCTCTGAAGATAAAACCCACAGTACCGTATCTGAGGGGCATCCTTCTTCTGTAACGACACACACACACACACGATCCGTGCGTGTCAGGAGTTACTGGGGCACAAACAAGACGTCCTTCCAGGGCCTTAAATAACATCTCAAGCTGCTGTGGTTCAATTTATTTCTTGTTTTGTTTTCATAGGCGGCTGTCAACACACACACACACCTAACACTGACAGGGAGAGAGGAAGAGGTGCAGGGAGAAAGGGAGAGAGAGATATGGATGGAGAGAGAGCGAAGACGGAAGAAAGGAAGGAGAGTGACAGAGGGTCAGTGCTCAGGCCAGCCTCAGCGCCGCAGCGGGGCGATCCCAGCCCACAGCGTGAATCTGGAAGGCGCACACACACACACGCGCGCACGCACATACACACACAGCAGGTGCCGGGGGAGCCGAGACGCTCTCTTCCCAGCCTACAGGAGCAGGTACGGAGCAGCCGGCTCGCAGCCAGGAGCGAGGTCTGCCCTACTTTCCCCAACGAGGGGCTGCCGGCTGATCGCGCCGCACGGGGCTGCCGCCACCTGAGCTGGCTCCCGCCACGCTGACGGACCCCTCCGCAGGGCGGCCCAGGGGGCAGGCGGAGAAAGGCCTGGACAGGCCCTGCCCAAGCTGCCCACTTACGCCCGCCTGCTTGGGAAACCCCAGTCAAGGTCAACATGACCAGTGTGACCCTGACTCTCTGGACTGTAGGGGTACAGCGTGACCCAGACCGGACCGGCGGGCTCTGGACTGTAGGGGTACAGTGTGACCCAGACCGGGCCGGTGGGCTCTGGACCGTAGGGGTACAGTGTGACCCAGACTGGACTGTAGGGGTACAGTGTGACCCAGACCAGGCCGGCGGGCTCTGGACTG